ATCGGGAAATATGATTATTAGAATGTACGATAATATTATAAAAAAAAAAAGAAAATATGTAAAGCGTATAAATTCGTTTTGATGCTAAAAAGAAAAAAAAACAAAAGAGAGAGAGAGAGAAAGAGAAAGCCAATACTCTGGATGAACCGAAAAGTTTCAACTTTTCTACGAACTATTTTCTACGATAGAAAACTACTTTTCCCATTCGTGAGAATCATTGTCTTCGATTAGGATCCAATCTTGGTAGATTCTAAGTGAAAAGCTGGGATTTGGTTTATTCTTTTTCTCTCTCTTTTGCCAGTTTTGTTCTCTCCTCTCTGTATCTTTCCTTTATTTCATTTATTCCATACACACACACACACATATATATATATATATATATATACATATATAAACACATACCATCTTAGTTTTCTTCTTACATTTATTTCTTGTTCTCATTCACACTCTTGTGTGCATGGATACTTAAACAATATTATTTTTTCCTTACGAAATAAAATTATTTTATATATTAATCACAAAAATAAATATTAATGTAAAATAAAATATAAAATATAGATAAAAGAAAATAATTTTTACTTTACAAATTATATATCAAAATGAAAAATTAAATTAAATCACATAAATATATTAAAACAATTTGTTTTTAAATGTATTCATTCGTTTTCAAACATTATCTTCACAAAATACTTTTCTCATCATAAATATCTTTATTTTAATTTTGTTTTATTATTTATTTTCTAATCTCCGATTATTATACATTCATTTTTATTTTTTCTTAATACATATTTCTACTTGAACCTTTTTATTTCGTTGTTTTTTTTTTATTCAACCATCCACTCGTATCATTTCCCTTAGTAAATAAAACCATCGTAATCCGATTTGAAATAACTTTAACATTCTTCTCATCTACACCTCATATATTTTTCATCTACACATTGTATATATCTATCTCATTCTAACTTATATACATTCACTTTCCCTATTCCTTCATTCCTAACTATACAACTTTTTCCCCCATTGCTTTCTAACTTCATTCACCCTCTTTCTATTCATTCTTAAAAAGAGGGGTGATGGGTGGAGGGGTTGTAGGGGTAGGATGGGTGGTGTAGGTAGCAGTTGGAAGTCAAAAGTTGTCGAAAACTTTTCTTTCTTTAATGTTACACATATTCTCTTTCAAGTTCAACTTTTCTATCTTCTTATTTTACTTTCTCTAATACTTTTTTTTTTTTTTTT